GGAGTGGTGCCCCACTTGAGTACCATGCGGCTCATTAGTCCTCGCCCTTCCTAGGGGCTTGGGCCTTCCTTCGGGATGGAAGTGGGGGGCGAGAGGTACCCATACCGGGCCGCTAGGCCACGGTGTTTCGCCCCGGCGTCCCGAAGCAAGTGTTGCACTCAAGACTTGGGATTTAGAGGGTCCCATGATCAAGTCTTGTGGTACCAAGGGATGTTAGGAACCTGGAAGCTTGGTGTGCTTGGCTGCTTGTGCTTGCGGGGAGTGTAGCCGAACCTTAAGTCCAGTCTAACTCGGGGAGGGGGATTGGGAGTGATTTGGGAATCCATGGAAGGATGGCTAACACTCCGTTGCTCATGCAGTGAGTAGCTGAAACCAAGTAGGAGCTGGTACCATAGGCGAGAACCTTGGCGAGGGAACTTAGCAAAAGCCAAGGCAGTGTTGGACGGATAGGCGAGGTAAGCTGGCAAAGTGGAAAGGAAAAATTTGTGGCTTACAAACAGCCAATAGAGCAGCAATAGCAACCACCAATCCAACAAGTACAACAACCTCGGCAGCAACAAGCAGGGAATATGGCAACGACAAAAATGAAGTATACCATCTTTAATGGTATGGGAGATCCAGATGCCCACGTGACAGCGTTTGAGAATACGTCTACAGCAAATGATGAGGCAGATGCAGCAGATCGCAGGAAACTTTTTCCAGCCACGTTACAGGGCGTAGCTGCAGAATGGATGGCTCAAGTTCCAGCAGCGACAGATTGGGCAGCATTGAGAGCATCCTTTTTGGCTACCTTTCGGCCAGTAGGCTTTTCACAGCGACTCATGAGTGATCTGAGTCATTTTCAACTCTTGCCTGGCGAGAGTTTACAAAGCTATACATTAAGGTTCAAGGGATTGATCCTCAAGAAGCAGCCACAACCGACAGAAGAAGAGCAAGCACAGTATTACACAAATGGCTTGCCTCATGCGGTTAGCTTTCATGTCTCATGCCATAATCCACAAACTTTGGCCGATGCAATTCGTCTGGCGGGAACCTGGGAGCAAGCGCAGCTCAAGATGAGACACCACTTCAGTAATCTTGGACTGGGAGCTTTTGGCGATGGAATGATGAATTCCATGATGGGAGGACTCGGAAGCACACCGCAACAACCAATACCTATTGGACAGCAGCCTTTTGGAGTCTTTGGAACAGGTCTTGGGATGATGGACTATAGCCGCCAACAACAGCAACAATGGCAAGCTTCAACAAGTGTAGTTCCAAATCCAGCGGCAACTACAGTGGACATCCAAGCAGAGATGAAGAAAATAAAGGAAGACATGGTGGAAGCCATGACAAAAAAGATGAGTGACATGCAATTGAACTCAGAGGGGTACAGAGCAGGCCACAGCCCGTGCGGCAGCGAGAAAACATCTGGTGTGTGCGATGCAACAATTATGGACACTACCCAAATGAGTGTCCACAGCCAGTGGTGAATCGAGAGAAGTGTCAATATTGCCGGCGAACTAATCATCGCTCAGAGGATTGTTTTTACAAGCCAGGAAATCCAGCAATCCCTGCAAGTTACATCCAGACTGCGCCATCATCACCACCATCTTTGGCTCAAGCACCGACCTTCTTTCAACGCCCGTTTTCTCCTCCAGTCCAGACCATGAGCTACGAGCCAGTGATTCAGGGGTATACGCCAGATATGATTCCAGTATATGCAGCAGCACCAATTCCAGGTGGCCGTGGACGAGGAGCTCCCTGTAGAGGACCTGTTCAATGCTGGAATTGCGATGAGATGGGCCACATTTCACCAAACTGTCCACATCCCAGGAAGCAGATTGGGTACCAGCCCATATGTGGAATCTGTCAGACACAGGGCTTGCACGAGCAGGACAATTGCCCGCATAAGCTCAAGCCAAGCAAGGGGAAGGGGGTTGTAGAAAGCAATGCAATTTTTGTCCAGCAAGCTGCACCAGAATCTGGAGTTATGACACGGGCACGAAGGCGTCAACAGATGGAGAACTCTATAATTGAGGATGCTGAGGAGAAGGATGACCCAGAGAAAATTGCAAGAAAGAACCGCAAGGAGAAAAGAGAGAGCAAGCAGCCCAAATCAGATCCACCGGCTACAAATGACCAAGATAAACCAGTCCCTGATTCTGAAATAACTACCCCAGCTAGGGCTCTTGACAAGGGCCAGGGAGTTGCCAAGGCGCTACGTAAAAAGTGGAAATCAGTGGAAGCTGAATCTGGAAACGCAGCCGTACAATATTCTTCAAGACTTGGATAGTCAACGCCCGAACATCACATTCGCCCAGCTTTTGCAATTGGCTCCAGGCATGAGGAAAGTGTTGGCCGTGGCCATGAAGGGACATCGAGAAGTACTGGTTAATTCAGCTTGGCCCCTTATCACAGATCTCAGTTCCCCCTGTATAGATGTGGAGACACAAGGTGAGCTAATCCGTCGTGCTGTGATCGATGGTGGAAGTGGAGTGAATATTTTGCCTGAGGAGACCTGGCGAAAGTTCAATCTTCCAGAACCAGTTCCAGTGCCATTTATGGTTAAAATGGCCGACCAGAGACGTGTCCAGCCAAGAGGAATCGTGACCGGTGTTCGCACTCAGATTGCTGGTCTAGTTTTCCACATCGATTTCGTGGTTTTGAGGATGAAGGAGGGCATGTTGGGCTATCCACTGCTGCTCGGACGTCCTTGGCTTCTCCAGGCGGCAGCTGTGCATAATTGGCGTACAGGAATTCTTGCCATTGGCGATGGCAATAATCGTGTTAAAGTCCAAGTTCATTTTCGCCCTAGGGCACGGCGAGTACTTGGGGCAGAACAGGAGGATGAAGACAGCTCTGATACATCCAATTCTAGTAGCCAGACAAACAGTGAGGACGATGAGGAGGATAGCAGCAACACAACCAGTTGTGAGGAGCTAGAAATGGTGGATGTGGCTGCTATCACCAAGAATTCCTGGGGTAAGCCTCTTTCAGCATGCAACACTGAGGAGCTTGAGAGCTGGCTGTGGGGAAAGGATGGAGAGTTGCCTTTTGGTAGCGTACAGGTGGTGGAAGAAGAGACTGGTGCCAGACAGTGGCGAGGACGGAGCCCTTTTCCTCGCTACATCGCTACGGTGCTACACGAGAAGTGGATGGACGGCATTTTGAATCCTGATGTGAGGAACAATTTTTTGAGCGAGGAACTAGTTGCCACTTGCCAGCTCGAAGCTATTCCAGTGGAGCAGCCATGTTGGGCTATGCGAGCAGGGGAGCTGAAGCGGATAGTATATAGAGTTCCAGGTTTGACGATCAAGATACCAGAATTTCCAGTCGACTTGGATTTTCTGGTGGCACCTTGGAAAATGGACAACTATATCCTGCTGGGACGAGATTTCTTAAAGGCAGTAAGAGTGTCTCATCAGTGGAATGATCCGCTTCACTTGTGGATTCCAAATCCACATGGCAATGACAGAGTGCAGATCGACATGGAAGAAGGGGACGAGCCCAGAGAGCAAGTTTTTATCACGGTGTTGGAATCAAGAGCTGAAAATCAAGCTGTGCCAATGCCAGTGGCGTTCCAGACAGTGGATAGTTCTGAGGCCTGGATGGGAGGAACCAAAGCGATGCATCTTACAGCATCTTTGGAGAATGTGGAACTCACAGCAATGGTGGATCCAGGAGCACTTGGCAACTTTTTGACAAAAGATGGAGCAGCTCGAGCAAGCTTGGCGATTATAGCTCTTCCTGAGCATTACATTGCCGTTTGTGCTGATGGTGGAGTTTTTCCAGTGCTGGGTCTCGTGAGTTCCAACATGGTGATTGGTGAGGGAGACTTTCACGAGGTGCCTTTTTATGTGATCGAGGGCACTGTGACTAGCGTACCAGTTACTTTGGGAGCAGCTTGGCTTTTCCAGGTACAGGCTAGTCACGACTATGTGACTGGTACTCTGGTGGTGGAAGATGATAATCATCGATATCGGACAATCATCTTGTCTGATATCAGTGCGTTTGATTATCACTTTTCTTACATGCTGAAAGTCGAGAAGGCTTCAAGGTTAAAAAGCAAGAAAGTGACAGCATGCAAGGATCGTAGTATGCTCAAGTCATCACCAACTCAGCTAATTGAGATCGGGAATGGACCTCAAGATCTAGCTGGTCATCAACTTTCCGTGGACGTGGTGCCAACAGCTGATTTGGAAGCAGGAAATTATCCCAGCTATTTTTTTAAGGAGCAGGTTGCTGATCTTCCACTCAAGGAGACTTCCGCTCGTTCTCAAGTCGATTCAGATTATTTTGGAAGGGCACCCCAGACACAGGCTGTGTTTATGGAGCAGGTTGGTGACGAGCGACGTGAGTTACTGGTGGGACACCAACTCACCAAGGAGGAGGTGGAAGCTTATCGTCAACTATTTTTGGAGTTTCGAGATGGTGTTCTGAGGCGCTGCATTCTTCCTCATGAGGTGCAGCAGGTGATTGGCTCTTGCCATGATTCTCCCTACGGTGGGCATTATGCAGCAGCAGCGACTATACGGCTTGTGCTCCAAACTGGTTATTGGTGGCCAACGCTCCAGCAGGATGTGGCGAAATTTGTGAGAAGTTGTGATCCATGCCAGTGTGTTGGGCGTCCTACTCGACGAGATGCAATGCCGTTACATCCGATTATTCCAGCTCTACCTTTTGAGAAGTGGGGAATCGACTTCATGGGGCCGTTCAAGCCTACGTGACATCGCCGGAATCGTTATATCTTGGTCTGCACAGACTATGTGACCAAGTGGGTGGAAGCTGAGGCTTTTACTGAGGACACGACAGAGAAGGTAGCAGGATTCCTCTACAAGAATATCATCACGCGTTTCGGATGCCCACTTGAGCTTGTGAGTGATTGAGGTACGCATTTTATTAATGCGGTCATTGCAGCTCTCACAACCAAGTATGGCATTTCCCATCGACGTTCGACACCATATCATCCAAGAGCAAACGGCCAAGTTGAGAGAACCAATAAGACACTATGCGACACCATGACTAAGCTTTGCAACGCAAGTGCTAGCGACTGGGATACCAAACTTCTTGATGCGCTATGGGCTTACAGGGTTGCCTACAAGGTAACTACACGGTTCTCACCATTTCAATTGGTTTATGGCCAGGAGGTGATCCTTCCTCTCGAGCTGGAAGTTCCTTTTTTGCGAACAGCGGTAGCTCACAATTATGACTGGGATGGAGCTGTTCAGCAGCGGCTGGAGCAGTTGGAGAAGCTGGATGAGACTCGCCTCCTTGCTTTCCAAGCCCGTGAAGTTCTCCAACGTCAACGCAAGAAGTGGTATGATCGTCATTTACGGGCTAAGAGTTTTCAGGAAGGAGATCTCGTGCTGCTATATGAGAGCAAGTACTGGAAGCGTCCGGGAAAGCTTAAGATCCGCTGGATTGGGCCTTATCGCGTGAAGGCTGTGAATATCAATGGCTCAGTCAAGCTGGAGGATTTTGCTGGTAATCCTTTGCCCACACCGGTGAACGGAGCTTGACTGCGGTGCTACCAAGTTCCATCTGGAGAGGAGTGCTCCGGGGATGGAGCACAATAGTCGCCGGGGTGATGTCGAGGGCCAGAGCCAGCTCAAGAATAAGACTTGGTCCAAGTCGGGGTTTTTTCCTTCTTTTTGGTTATAGTGGGGGGAATAAGGGAATATTCTGCTGAAAACAGGGTGCGTCCCTTGGTGCCAGAGGTTGACGATAGGGGGGATGGCCAATTTCCAGGCATAGGATGTGTGTAGAGGGGGAGGGAGTGAAATAAAGAGAAGGTCTTGGAAGGATGCCTCGTCCAATAGCCTTGGAGCGCGTGGAGCGGAGGTTGGCAGTGCAGCGGCGACTACGGTTGTTCGAGGAGCGTATCACAGCGAGAATCGTTCAAGATCAACCAATCTGTGTGAGTTGTCCGACTTGTGGGCAGCCCTGGGTTAGGATGTTGGCAGAGGTTCTAGTAGAGGTCGCTGACGAGGCTAGAGACGAGGCTAGGCAGCAGTGATTCTCCACGTCGCTGGTGTGTTGTCGCGAGGAGCGACAGTGTGCTAAAAGTGAGCTTACTTCAAAGAAAATAATGCATTTTTCTTAATGATATTTTAGAGACTACCTTACATAATGCAATATAATAGTAGAGATATATAAAATGATTTTCCAGATTTACAACAAAGATGTTAGATGTATAGTTAATTTACATTAAATCTAGAACTGATGTATACCATAGATGATGGAAAATCATACCATACAATCTAAATCATATTTAGAAGCTATATCCCAAAACTTTAAACTAATTGAGAAAGAGGGTGCACTCTTATTAAACTTCAATATACTTTCTATAAATACTTAATGATATACATTTTTAGGGAAATATTTAGTTTGTACAATAACTATATACTTTATCTAGTTAATTTAGTATATTTTATATAGATAATTTAATAGTTTCTAATATAATAAAACTGCTAATCCGTGGCATTTTTTGGGATGCCAAGAACATCATTTTAGCATTATGTATGTATAATATACAAAGAAAATTATTACACAATATTATATTGAAGATTATTATATTATATTTCTAAAAAATAAAAAAGTAGAAAACATATACTAGTAAACTATGATTAATAAAAATTAATAATATTATAATTTATGAACAGGTAAAATTTAAAGCTAAAAATATTATAGTATTATGATAGATTCTAGAAACAGTTTCAAGTATAGCCACTATTTAAAACGTAGTATTTTACAAATGGAGTGATATTAAAAATACTTTTTATATATATATATATATATATATATATATATATATATATATATATATATATATATATATATATATATAGGCACACACATATATAATATATATAGGTTTTATTGCTTTATTTATAAAAAATGATCACTACTACAGATGTGTATCATGTTGTATATTTTGCATATCAAGGAGCTCTAACAGCAATGAATGTAAATCCTGCTATTATTGTTGGCGCTCTTATAAGTTTCATTACAATTGCACTTCCATCAGGAAGACACACACCAATAGAATCTACTCCAACAATGCCCATGAGAATAGCAGGGACGGCAGGATTAACAGTTAATTTAAATGTTTTTATATTTTCAAGTTTTATAGATTGTGGTGTAGATTCTCAAGGTAGACAATTAGTTGAAAATGATAGAGTAGTGGATGTACTTACAAGAGCTAGTAGAGAAATTATCCCAATTATTTTGAGCAATAATGCAGCACATTTTTTAGCAGTTATTTTTGATCCAGAGGTTGGAGTATTTGGTTTATTATATAGTATAAGAGGTTATATCCCAAAATCTCCATCTAGTACTGCACTATTAGCAAAAGTTTCATACTTTTGTAACCCACTGAATACTAGACTTATAAGTGGGTATAAGAACATGCCATTGGCAACATTAAAAATTGGACAAGAATTAATTGATTTTCCAAAAGGTTTTACAATAATAATGCAATATGATTGTAATGTTGTATTTTATATTGCTATTAATGCCTTTTGGAGTACAAAAACATATGGGAAAAGTTTTGATTGTAACTTGAGAATGCAAGAAGATGGTAATCTTGTTCTATATGGAGCTTTTGATATAAATAATTACTGGTCCAGTGGAAGTTATTGTAAAAGTTATAATTGTGTTATGCTATCAATATTTCATGTTCAAAAGGATTGCAATTTATTAATTTCTAAGGATGGAACTCCAAATATACCAACGTGGCAAAGTGGTTTAACTTGTAAATTGTAATTTTCAATTAAAATCTAGCTAACTAGACTTATTCATTTATTATTAAGTTTTTAATATTTGATACAAGAATATGAATAAACACAATAAAATTTAACAATTTTAAAATATCTTTTTATAATTTAATTTTTTAAGATAAATCAATGTTCTTAAAATAAAGTCCTAGTCCTTAATTCCTAAAATAGAGTTGAATGGCCAAAAGTTTAATGAGCATAACATATTTGAGCCAAAAGCTTTGTCTTGAAAAGTTGAGAGTAGGTATGGAATTCCCAAAGAAGCACTCAAGGAATGAACACAAAATAATTGATAAGTCTCTAGAAAAAAATAAAGAATGATTGACATATAGCAAATGTTGTGATATATGAAAATGTCGAGACAAAAGTCCTAGAACCCAAGGACTTGAAGTCAATATAGTTTTGATACTGCTATTTAGCAAGTACCCTAATTGGGATGAAGACCATAGAGAATGGACTCTTCCAAAGGGTTAAATGTGTAATTAAATAATTAAATTAGAATGAAAAATTTAATCACTTACATTTGGTTTTAAAGTTGTTTCTTAGTCTAACTTTTATTAGGGGTTAAATATATTATCACTTAATATTGACATTTAAAGGTCCTAGAAATGATGCTATACTTAAGAAGTAGGATGTCATGATAGCATGACTCTTTATTTTGGTTCATAGGTGAACTTGAAGCAAGTGTGATAGATAAAAAAGGGGTCAATAAAAGAACAACTTTGGGATCTTGAGAAATATAAATGTTTTTCTTTAGAGAATTGAGGATATAATCTATATTAAAGTTAAGTTTTGCAAATTTGGCTTTAATGTAGTTGTGGTAGATAACTATGGACTTGAAGAAAAAAGACTTCTAGACAATAAAGAAACCATAGGATGGAAGGTAAAATTATTTTGTGTGTGAGAGTTTCTTGGCTCTTGAAGCAAGGGAAAAAGCTCAAGGTTAGGTAACAAAGAAGGGTCTTGAACAAGAGACAACACACTCATGGATAGTTTAGAAAGTGTGGTAGTGTGGAGGAAGGCGTGAAGCTAAATACTTACTCTCATGATGTTTTTAAGCATAATAGATTATTTTAGATCCCTAGAATATTCTTCTCCTTATATATTAGTCCATGGGAGGCTTGAGTTCAGGATTTCACCCCATTTCCTTTGTGCTTAAGCTCTTTGGTGTCACAAGCATATGCATGAGTGTGCAGAGCTGTGATTGGGGTTAAGAGATGCCTTAACAATTGGTGAGTTTATTCCAAATTGTAACATAAATGATTTTCACAGTATACCTTATAGTGATTTACCATAGAATACCATGGAGTAGAACCTAACCTTTAGACACATGTGCCAAGGGCAATAGAGTGGGACACAAGTTTTAAGGTCTTGAGCCACTAAATGAGAGAATGAAACCCAACTCCTAAGTATATAGCCAAGGAGTGAAGGATCAAAAGTATGGAACAACTCATAAATGTCAACCAAAGAGCGTAAGACTAAGAGTAAGGAGTAACTCCTTAGCATATAGCTAAAGAGCAAAGGGACAGGAACACAAAGTGACATTAGAATAGTCCTAACATCTCAATGCAAAGACCAATACACAAAATGGAGCTCAATAAAATGTAGCATTATTTCAATATACAAATGGCATAATGCAAGGATATGGGTACTTCACCAGTTAGTATAGCATGAAGCAAACTTTAGGCTTTCACTTCAATCTCAAGAGTTAGTCTTTGGTCTTTGGGATAAACTCAAAAACTTATTAAATATTGAATGGCACTAAATTGTAAATTTGGATGTGAGAATAACACTTATGAGCACTAACTCCATATATTCAACCATTCCATGCAAAATAGTGTTGGACAAATTTTAGCACAATTTCAACATACCTGTAGTTTAATGCAAGGAGATGGGTACCCCATTGACTAGTATAGGATGAAGCTTGGGTTTAGAGGCTAGATGTAAAACAACCTAGCAATGGCTAAACTAATGTCCCAATTGGTTGGCCATGCTTCCAATTAATATTCCTACTATATATTGGAACGTTTTCATTTTGTTTTTAGTTAATACATCCTATTATAGAACTTGAGTCACTTAGTCAGATGATAGAAAACGGTCTTGCTAGTTCCCTTTGTTAGTCCCTTTTTTTCAAGTGTTAGTAAATTATATTTAGCCAGATGAGCATATGAAAGGAATTTCTAAGTGTCTATTTAACTACTTAGCCTAATTTATTAGTTCTCTAATTTACTCTGTCTTGAACTAGCTTGACAAAAACCCCTACAATATGGAGTTTAATCCCTTAATACTCATTACACTCTTGCTATTATTCCTCACGTGTTGATCCCATTTAAATCCCATTAACTATTTATAAAAAGTGTCTAGATCTGCTAGTGAAGTATATTTACAAAATGTAGAGATTATCTTGAACACGATAATACAAGGGTTCCAAATGTATAATAGGAAACAAACCTAAGATACTATTTGGCCCCCTACTAGGTATTTTTAATCTTGAATTGGCGTGAAATCTCTTCGATCGCTTCCTGGACAACGATATGATCTATAAGACTATATACAACTCTTTGAGCTGCATGTACAAAGGAGAGAGCTCAATCCTTTGATCCCTTCTCTGGTGAAGTGACCTGTGGTTTTGTCTTTTGGAAAATACGCAAGCTCTATACCATGTTAGTTAATGGAATATTTATATCTTTATGTTATACCACCAGTATACTTAAATAACATCAGATTCTGTTTAACTCTATTTTATGTGCTAATATTTGCATTGAGATGCTAGATGCTCTACAACTATTTTAATATTGCTCCATGTTCCTATCCTTTTGCTCTTTAAATATGCACTAGAGAGTTATTTTATGCTCTTATTTCTTTATTCCTTTGTTGTACATTTGGGAGTTATTCTATGCTCTTGTTCCTCACTCCTTGGATATATGCTTGAGAGTTTGGTTTTGTCCCTTTGTTCAATGGCCTAAGTGTAAAGAACTAACTCCCCGATG